AGGAAGGAAGGAAGGAAGGAAGGAAGGAAGGAAGGAAGGAAGGTAGGTCAGCATTAGCCTTTTCTAACATAGGCCTTTGTATATTGAAAGAAAGAACTGATCCAGGTTGGAAGCTGTTTCCCATGACATCCGGGTAGTGTGTAAGACGTGGAGATTAACAGTTACATTTTACAGGTGACAACATTAAACTTGTGAAGGTCAGATATTTCTAGGATTGTCTCTGGAGGGTTCTAAGACGGAGAACAGGATGGCTATGCTTCTTATGCAGGGGCCTTCAATCTCCTGCATACTTTTGGCTTCATCTTACACCTGTGTCAATAAGCCTGAGTCTCTAGGGTTTCTTTTCACAAGCAATGGTTAATTAAGAAGCGTTCAGGCTCTGGCTTCAGACAGGATTTTACTACCAGTAAGAGCAGAACATAGAGGGCTTGTAAAAATGTAAGACTTAATAAAACATAGAGGACATTTTAGACATGAGAAAAGATGCCGAGTTCTATAATATTATACCTTCATAAAAAATTAGAATGAGACTAGAGGGAAGGTGAGATGAGACACTATGTTCCTCTGTCTGGAAAAGGGTGACCCAAAAATGGGAGGCTTGAGGTGGGAGGGGGTACACACACATCTAAGAAGGGAGACATTGTGAGCACATTTGTTAAAGCCGGAGTCTAACCTCAACATGGATTTGAATCCTGTTTACCAATTATGAGTTCTATGGCTTTAGGCAAATTGCTTAATTTTTTGTGCCCCAGTTAGTTCTTCATTTGAAAAATGAGGTGTAATAACCATAATAATTAGAGTTGTGAGGATTAAATATGTCAATACATATACTGCCGTAGTCTGGCTGGGCTGCCTAAGTCTGGCTGGGCAAAATAACCGAGAGGTGACAAGCAACTTGAAGGTTGAAGCAGGAACTACTTTATTGCAAGTGAACTCAGCAGGAACTGAGCGAGAACTCAAAGTAGCGGGTACCCAAGGTAACAGGAGCCGCTTCTCTGTGGGACAGCAGAGGTACATATACCCAACTAATTACACACAGATTAACTTAATTAACATTATCTAGACACAGCAGTCAGTCATTAAGGAATCCTCATCATCTTAATGGCTCGCTGGCGTTACTTCACAAACCACTCCTTCTGGCAAGGTGCCAGGCGCCATCTCGACTTGATTTGCATCCCCAACAATCTACAACACTTGGAACAATGCCTGACACTTAGAAATACTGTTTGCTGTTACTGTTACTCTGGAGAGCGGCCCATGCTCTCCTCTGAATTACTCTTGGATGTATAGAACAGCAGCTTTCAGTCCATGCCCAAACCTAAGTCACTCCATTTTGTAAAGCGTTAGTTTGCCCTAAATTACTCCATTTTGACTACAGGTGCCAAAGTAGAATGACTCCATATCTCGTTTTTACAAGTAAACAATTACCATCTGCCTGGCACCACTAAAGGCATAAACTGATAAATAACTTATATGTGCCAACTTACTCAACTAAATCAAGGAGATGTGGATATCCCACATCATATCAGGAATGCCAGACACAGGAGCTTATCAACCTTACCAGATGAGAACCCTCATCGGAGACCCATAAAAGAAGAAGCCTCCCCACCAAGACTTAACATGGTCTGAGACCAGGCAAAGGACAGGTGGATGGCACCCCCATAACCCGTTAGGTTGCTAACAGCCTCTGGGGGAGGGTCACACTTTCTAACACAAGCAATCACCCCCAGATGGCTTTCTTCCTGCCCTTTTGGTCACTTTTGGTCACATAGGCAGAGTAGGAGGAGGGGGCATGAGAAGAAAGGAAACTTGATATCAATAAGGGGCAAGACGCCCTCACTCCCTTGGGCACCAGCCCTGGAGCCCCTTTTCCCTGGAGTCAGTCAGTCTCTCTCTCTCTCTCTCTCTCTCTCTCTCTCTCTCTCTCTCTCTCTCTCT